CATGCACCGGGCTACTAGTCTTCAATAAGGCACTAAACCTGTCTAGAAATCAGTTACATTATGTCTATGATCCAATACTATATTTCTATAATCTTAGAAACTAAACAAATATAAACTTTAACACTGGTTTAAAACTTTCCTTACTAATTTATTACATATATTAATTACATATGCTGTCTTACCACCTATGTATGAAAATTTGGAAGTCCATAGTTCTTATTTTACTGATTTATTTGAAAAAATTATCTGTGTAATCAAATTTGAAAATTTGATTTGATTTTATTTATGTTTTTTCAAAACTATTCTGAAAAACTAGAACATAAAGAACATTGATCTGGAAAGATACTAATTCATAATTTAAAAGCATCCCACAGTTATTACTTGTATAATATCAAATCAAACATCTAGTTATGTAATATCTTTATAAGCTAATATATTCAAAGGAAGTTGTCAAGACTTGACTTTTATTAGATATAGTGATCAATCTTTAAAAATGTGTTTTAAACTTACTACAGTAAGAAAATAAAACCTGCTAGATATAAATTCATATAACATTGAAAAATTATTTTGTATTGGATAAAACTATAAAGAAATAGGACCTGAAAAATAGAAAAATGATGTTAGATAAGCATTAATGGACAACATGTTAAATATCTCTATTAGGTATTGATATACCACATCTTTAAAAACCACAGATGTATTACTGGATTCATTCAATTTTTGGTTTATGCAATCCCAGCAAAAAAAACAAAACAAAAACAGATCTGGAATGTCCTGATAGTCATTACTTATATAACCATAAAGAAAAATATGAGTTTATATTAACGTGATACCAAGTTTATTAGAATGGAAGACAACGTTTGTAGTATAGTTAAGAACACAGGCTTTGGGGCAACGGTGGGACGAAATCTTGGCTCAGCCACTTCCTAACTCCTATTCTCAGACAAGTCATTTAACTTCCTCCTTTCATAAGCCTTAGATTTCTCATGCTTAAAAGAGGGATAAGAAAACCTGCCTGTTTGGGACATTTTGAGGATTAAATGATATCATCGACATGAGTAATAAATTCAGTAACTGGCACATATTCAACACTCATAACAGATGGCAATACTACTGTTTTGTTTAATTTATTAAAATATGGTTACCTGAAAACTCTGGAGCCTGACCTGTTCCGAATTAAATATATTTCTGGAATTTAAGTTCTGTAATTCCAAAAGTATTTTTTCTTTTTGGTGGCAGTGAAATAGCCCCATCTTCTGGATACATTTTCTTACTATTTTCTTTCCATTTTATAGATGAAGGAATAGGATAAATATCATTTTCAGTATTGCTTTTTAGTGTTTTAAAACAGTTGTTACTAACTAAACATGTAAAGACCTAGAAACATCACAACTTAAACATTACCCATAAGGCAACTGATGTCCTTTATTAGCCACATCGTTTTGTCCATATTATGTGAATCAGGCATCTGTGAGATCATGAAACTCAGTAGGCCTTAAATGTTGCCTAGCAATGCTACTATATTTCCCTAGCCCATACACCCTCCCAATCATCTAGACCACTATTTTACATGTTCTTCTCACTGCTCAAGCCTCCAACATCTTCTCCCCCATTGTCACAGTTTACCTTTCTCACTTCCTCACGGAAATAACTAAAATAATCACTGAAGAACTTAAACAGATTTTCACCATATCAACCCACA